GTATACGGATGGAAATACGTCAGGATCATGTCTAATATCTAAAAGAAGGTCCCCTGATCTTGCACAGGCACTCCCGGCTGTGCCTGCTCCTCACCCTGCCTATTCGGGGCAAGTAAGTTACTACTCTCTTCCATTCTATCTTTCGCTTCACTTTGGGAGCCCTCAAAGTCCGACATCTATAATCAATTTACTAACATATTAGCAAATATAGCATCATAATCACCTTATCATATCATAAAAATTTAATTAAAAGTTGGCATATACACTTTTTAAAACAAAAACAACTTTATTTCGATCTTAAAACCAATTAAACCATAGCTCTGATACCATTAAATGTAACACCCCTAACCCGTACCCGACCGGATATGAATCCGAGGTGTCACATTGACTTTTCAAAACATATGTAATTAACAAATAAAAACAATTTAAAATTTTGGATCAAGATAAAAAAATAACAACCTTAACTTAAATAAGATAAATATTTCACATTCATATTAACATAAAAGCTTTGATAATTTACATAAATACAAAATATATGAGATTACAAAATAAATCAGAACATTTCAAATTAAATGTATAATACATGCCAATAGTTTACAAAATTAACACAAAAACTACGTTTAATTTGTCCTGATCTGATCTTCATGTGGTATGCTATCCTCAACCAATCAATCTTCTGCTTCCTTCAAACCTAGGCGTGAGAAAATCACACACTAAATTGATGACTTAGTGAGGCAAATACTAAGAGTGCTAACTTAATAAACGAAACCTTTATTGGTTTTTATCAAAGTATTTTATAAAGCATTTCAACTTTTTTTCCATATCAAAAAGGTATACTTATAAATAGTATTCACTTTGTAGATTTTTGTTCCAAATGCCCAAGGTATTCTACTGAGAACGCTAGGTATTTGATTACATTGAGGTTGTGCACTAATGTTGTCACCACAGCTCGTAATTTGCACCGAAGTGCCACATAATTGTCCCGAAAGACCACATAAATTTTCACCGAATTACCACATAGGTTTGCACCGAAGTGCCACATATTTTTCCAGAAGGACCACATAATTGTCCTAAAGGACCACATAAAACCCTCGACTCTTTGCATGCCAACTATACCTCTAATCCTCATACATATACTTTGGGCTATTAATCACATAATTATGTTCAATCATTATTCGAAGTGTCTCTTATTCACATAATTACTTTCACATAGAGTCTTTTCACATACACTTATTCAAAGTTCACATTTCCATAATAATATGATCATAAAACATAACTTATATAATATAAATTGAATAAAACATTGCAATATAACATAAATAAATTATAAAGTTTTTGATCGAAAATACTGAGGTTGGCTTATCGCAACCCTTCCTCAATTCTGTTACAAAATTGAGAAGTTACATTCACCTTTGCCTCACTAAAGTTCTAAGCAAAATCCTTAACCCTTGTGAATCGATACTTAATATGTCGAGCTGACCAGAAGTTGATAACGTTCAATCACTACACAAAACAATTGAAAATCAATATCGTTCTTCAAATTGCTTATATCCAATCAGAATAACTTATGATGAAAAAAACTCTATTTTTTCGTTCATGCCTAAAAGTATCAGTACTACCTCTCCAGTACCGATACTTTCCTTCGAGGGTATGGATACTGAGTTGGTAGTATCGATACCAGTGGAATGGTATCAATACCAGTGGAATGGTGTCGATACCATTTTTAAGATACAATTTCAGAATGCCAAAATGGTATTGGTACCTTAAGGAGGTATCGATACCCTTAAAGGGAAGTATCGATACTGGAGAGGTAGTACCTATACTTCTAGTCATGAATGAAAAGTTAGGGTTTCTTTCATCATAAGTTATTCTGATTGGATATAAGGGATTCAAAGAACGATATTGATTTTCAATTATTTTTTGTAGTGATTGAACGTAATCAACTTCCGGTCAGCTCAACATATTAAGTATCGATTCGAAAGGGTTAAGGATTTTGCTTAGAACTTCAGTGAGGCAAAGGTGAGTGTAGCTTCCCAGTTTTGTAACAGAATTGAGGAAGGCTTGCGATAAGCCAACCTTACTGTTTTCGATCGAAAACTTTATAATTTCTTTATGTTATATTGCAATGTTTTATTCAATTTATAATATATAAGTTATGTTTTATGCTCATATAATTATGGAAATATGAACTTTGAATAAGTGTATGTGAAAAGACTCTATGTTAAAGTAATTATGTGAATAAGAGACACTTCGAATAATGATTGAACATAATTATGTGATTAATAGCCCAAAGTATATGTATGAGGATTAGAGGTATAGTTGGCATGCAAAGAGTCGAGGGTTTTATGTGGTCCTTTAGGACAATTATGTGGTCCTTCTGGAAAAATATGTGGCACTTCGGTGCAAACCTATGTGGCACTTCGGTGAAAATTTATGTGGTCTTTCGGGATAATTATGTGGCACTTCGGTGCAAATTACGAGCTGTGTTGACAACATTAGTGCACAACCTCAATGTACTCAAATACCTAGCGTTCTCAGTAGAATACCTTGGGCATTTGGAACAAAAATATACAAAGTGAATACTATTTATAAGTATACCTTTTTGATATGGAAAAAAAGTTGAAATGCTTTATAAAATACTTTGATAAAAACCAATAAAGGTTTCGTTTATTAAGTTAGCACTCTTAGTATTTGCCTCACTAAGTCATCGACTTAGCATGTGATTTTCTCACACGTAGGTTTGAAGAAAGCAGAAGATTGATTGGTTGAGGATAGCATACCACTTGAAGATCAGATCAGGACAAATTAAATGTAGGGTTTTGTGTTAATTTTGTAAACTGTTCGCATGTATTATACTCATATATTTTGTATTTATGTAAACTATCAAAGCTTTTATGTAAATATGATTATCTTATTTAAGTTAAGGTTGATATTTTTTTTATCTTGATCCAAAATTTTAAATTGTTCTTATTTGTTAATTACATATGTTTTGAAAAGCCAATGTGACACATCTGATTCGTATCCGGTCGGATACGGGTTAGGGGTGTTATAATTATATTAAAAACCATAATAATATATATTTTTATAATAAAACTATATACATAATTATAATATTAAAATAATGAAAATGCAACATAAATCCCGGATGAGAACCAATATCTACGATGATAATATTGAATGTAAGTAAAAAATTTATTTCTAAACTAACCCATGAACTTTTGAAAAATAAACTACCCTATTATAAAAACTCTCTTTATATACAGAAAGATTTGTATACATGTATGGATGGATGTAAAGGGCAACTAAATAAAGTGAAGAGTTGATAGATTCAAATTGGAATGGCAGTAAAAGAGTGGGATCTAAATTAATAAACGTCATCTTTGTTTTCATTTTTGAATTTGTCAAATTAATTTCGTTTTATTTAAAAAGAAATCTATCTGTTTTTCCATTTGAATTGGAAGTATCACTTATCTTTTATAATACTCAATTTAAGTTAACTACTCAATTAAATATTAGCAATCATACAATCCTCCTCAGCCACCTATATCTTTTCCAATTGGTCTTAAGTATGCCCTAACTCTAGATTGGGAACCACCTTGACTTAAACTTTTTTGTATAAAAAAATATTAGCAATCATACGAAAATTCAACTGCATCTGGGTTGCCAAATTTGGATAGATAAACCTCCTCGTAGTCTAGCAAAAACGATACTAGGAAAGAAAGATATAAAACAGTTTGAAACAAAAAGAGATACCGAAGAAACAAAAATATGGAAGTAATTAGAACCAAAACTTTCTTTCTTTCTTCCATATTTCTTTTTAGTTATTTCAGAAAAAATATTTCTTGTCAGTACTAGTTATGGATGGAGATAAAATTTTATAATTAATAGTGCGTTTGGTTCACAGAATGTAAGATTACTAGTGGGAATGTAAGATTACCAGGGAATAAGATTAATGGGAATGTTGTATTTTTTGTTTGGTTGGCTTAGTAAGAATGTAAGATTACTATGTTTGGTTAAAAGAATAAAATATTATTAGAATGTATATTTGACCAAATTATCCTTATTATATATTTGTTTTTTTAACAAGTTGGAAAATATTTATATATTTCTTTAAAAAATTTAAATTCATAAAATTTATATAATTTTTTTTACAAAATTGAAAATATAAAAAGGTTTAATGAAAGGGTAAAATTTTATTTTAACCCTGAACTTCATATAAAATTTTAATTATAGATTTTTTTTGTAAATCTAAAATAGTTTAAGTATAAATCCACTATTGATAATCTTATATTATCGGGAATGAGATTCCCAGACTAACCAAATGGGAGAATGTTGATTCCATTCCCTCATCCAAACACCCCTAAGGGTGAATTTATTTTATAATTTAGTGAGGTTGGGTGAAGTAGTTAGCAACAGCTCCCTAGACGGACTTGGGTTCTCGCATGACTCAAAGCTGGACCGCAGAAACGATAACGTCAACCTCAACAAATTTTTCAAAATGTAACCCTAAACTGTAACAAATCCTAATCCCCAGTACCTAAAAAACACAAATCCAAAGTCCCGCGTTGAAAGGAACAAAGATAAAAATTTCAAAATAAACAAACACCCTTTACTCGGGTAAGTGGGTGGAATGCAACGAATTAAATACTGTTGGTCTTGAAAGGTGATGCAATAAAAAAATTATGTTGGACTTTACATAATTCAATCCAGTTCATGTTCTAAAATCTGGATTTATGGGTGACAAAGTGTCTTTCTCTCAAGTTTTCACTATCTCTTCTTGGTTGAAACCAAATGTAGCCGACACCCAATCCCAATCCTTTTTTTACTATTTTCTCTCCCCCAAACAACCAAACTTCATCCATCTTCTTTTTCCAAAATAACCGGACCCACACCAAACTTTTAACCATCCATTCACTCTATAAATAGCTTCAGCTATTCACGTTAGATAATAACACTGGCAAAGGACTCAAACTACACTATTCCACAGCTCAACGTTACATATGGGTCAGGGAAAGCTTGTTTTAGTTTGCTTGGTCTTGGTCAAGGTGTTGCTGATCCATGCAATGGCTGATCATCAGTCCCAGGTGAAACCTTCAGAGGTTTACAGGGTTCATGAAAAGGAGGATGAACCAGGTTGGGTGATCTCTAGAGAAGCAGATGATCGTGAGCCTGTTCAAAGTCCAGCCGCGTCGTCTGAAACGCCAGAGATCAGAAGGCTGGGAAAGCATCGTTCATCAGACATGTCAGTGGCCGGTGGTGGTGTCATCATCGGTGGAATTTTTTTCATTGCTATTTTCGCTTCTGTTTTTGCCTACATCCGAGTTACAAGGAAAAGGGTTGACGTTAAACACTAAAGAGCTTTGCATCTTCTTTCCTTGTTGTTGACTCTGGGCTTATTATACTTTTTAGCATTCAATTTTTTTTCCTCCTTTTGTTTCATAAATCTATATGCAGAAATAATGGAGGGATTTAAAGCAATATTTGTAATATTATGTGAATATCATATTGAAATTGCATCTTTATAGCTTCAAATACATGCTTTTGCCTACTGTGTTGCCTTTTCTCTTGAATGTAATAAAAGCAGCAAACTAACTCTGGTTGTTGGCCATGGCGCGTCCCTAAATAAATAAGTCAAACAGCTGAAACTATGAACGAATGCTTAGCAAATATGATCGAGTACGATGGCCCAGAGCATTGGGCAGTTTCTCCGACAAGAATGGTTATAAGATTTTATGTTACAAGTTTAAACATAAAATTAAATTTTGAAATTATAAAATTTTGAAAAGTGTGATATCAAAATTATAAATACAACAACAACAAAACCCTATTCTCATATGTGATGGGGTTAGGGGAGGTAGGGTAGTAGGCTGTCCCCAACGCCAAGTTGAGAGCAGCTTCCGTGGAAGACCTCCGGCAGTCAGAAAAATTTTCCCTGCGTACAAATCTCTGCATATAGACAAAAAACGTAAGTCCCGAATAAATTTAAAAGACGAAACATGAGAAGGATATACTGAAGTCAGTGGTCGCAAGCTACGATAAAGGAATAATGTCAAATGGGTTAAAACCTAAACTAATGCAACACTAATTCGATATCCTAGTTCTAATCCTTCAAAAATTCCCATGACAGAAACGTATTAAAAGTAGAAGTCAAGGAAATTACTATAAAGGCATTAAAAAGAAGGCAGAGATGCTACACCCTATGGCTGTGACCCACACTACTGTTACCCTGGTCTTAACTCTCCATACTTTCTTATCAGAGGTCATGTTCTCGGTAAGGGCTAAATCCTTCAAATCAGATCTCAAGCAGTCTACCCACTTCCTCCTTGGTCGTCTCTCCTTCTGGCACCGTCGACTATAATCGACTCTACCCTCCTGACCGCATCCGACTGTTGTCTCCTAAGGACATGCCCAAACCATCGTAGTCTTCCCTCCCTCAATTTTTCAGATACATGCATCACCCCCAAGGACATCCTAATTGCAGAGTTTGGAGTCATTTCCCACAGAGTCTTACCACATGTCCATCGAAGCATTCTCATTTCTGCGGCCTCCATCCTCCATACGTGATCCTTCTTGATTGCCCAACATTCTGATCCATAAATCAGCGTTGGTCTTATTGCAACTCTATAAAATTTTCCCTTAAGTTTTAGAGGCACCTTCTTGTCACACAAAACTCATGTAGCTGCCCTCCACTTTAGCCATCATACCTTTATACGGTGCGTTACATCATCATCTACACCCCCATCTTTATGTATCATAGACCTTAGATACTTGAAACAATCCTTAGAGGGGAGAACGTGTCCTTCAATGCATACGTCTACATCTTCATCGTTTTGGTTCCCACTGAAGTTTGAACATAAATACTCTGTCTTTTCAATATTGATCCTTAGACCTTTTTCTTCCAAAGCTTTCTTCCAGTTATTCAGTCTACTATTCAGCTCAGTTTTTGTTTAAACAATTAGGACAATGTCTTCAGTGAAAAGCATACACCATGGAACACCGTCTGGTGTCGCACAATATATGTCGTCCATAATCAAGGCGAAGATCAAAATTATAAATAAAATTTCTAAATTACAGAAAATTTTAAAATGTCTAGAGTCTAACAGAAATGAATTGGTTAGGGTTTGATGATAAATATTCACCCCATTGCATTTGTGACCAAAACTAGATGGTTACACAATAATCGGTGAATAACAAAACAATAATCGGTGAATAACAAACATTCTCATGGCAAAGATTTGTACATAAAATCCAGATTTAATTTGAAATATTCTTTTCATTTGATGTGTTTGGTGAAACTCGAACTTAATACTTGTCTAAGTGTTTACAAATACTCAACTATTGAATTTAAATTTATTTTTTTCTTTCGGTATAATCACCGGTATCTAATCTATTGATCGACTAATTCGAATCGGGTACTCAGAAGCAAAGGCAACTTTCCCAACCTGTTTGCTCCATTCACATTGTCAGGATTCAAACCCCTGACCTTACTTAAGAGATCTAGTGTCTTATCCTAGTATAACAATATTGGTTTTGAATAAATTTCTTTATACATTCATTATTGTTGTTCACAATTGAATAATCATGGTAAAGGTAATATGTGTGAATAATGAGCCCCACACTTTAACAAACTTTAAAAGAACTATTTTTAAAAAAAAATGATAAATTACACATTTAGTATTCCAACTATCACTTTTATTTCGCTTGAATCATTTAACTATTTTTAATTTCAAAATCGTATCTAACATTGCGTTTTAATTTCATATTGGTCACTTTCCATTAAAAAATTAACGGTGATGTTGATGTATCACCATAAGATAACACCCATCATCATCATTGAATTTTAAAAAAATTGTCACATCGATAATTCTGTTAATTTTTTAACGGTGATGACCATAATTAAACCAAAATATAGCATTTGGTATGATTTTGGGAAAAAACCAGTTGGTGACTAAAACAAAATAAAAGTGATAGTTGGGTACAAAACATGTAATTACCCAAAAATTTCAAATGAACTATATTGTTATGAATGGTGTGAATAAAATTCACAAGCGCAAGCGGAGAAGTCACATGATTAAAACTTTGGGGTTGTTTACTTGTTTAGGTCCTAATTTGTTTAAGCTCAAGCTCGAAAGTACAGATATGATATGGTTGTGTCATGGTTTCACAACCGGATGTCTTTCTTGAAGCCCAATAAGCTCAAACGGATGTGTTTTTATATTTTTAGTAAAGGTATTGTAACACATAAATAAGAATTCATATGTATATATTCGTTTTTAATCTATTAAATTTATGATCTATTGATAAAAACACATCATTTTAATCCTGATTATTATTAATTCATTTGATTGATTTAGGGTCAGTTTGGTGCAACTTTTAGAGAGTGACTTTTAAAAGTAATGTAGAAATGAATTTTTAAAAATATTGTACAAAAGTACATTTTAATTTTTTTTTGCTTTCCCTATTCCAAGGCTTAGCCTTGACTATCCAGACTGACCCGCATCACACACTTGACTTTGGTGGGTGAGTCTCCCATGAGAGATTTTTGCCCACACGAGGACTCGATTAAAATTTAATATTTGAGATTACTTTTAAAAATTAAGTTTGAAAAGATAAAAAGTTCATTATAAACATCATGTTGTAAATTAAAAATATAGCATTTAAATTATATTTATACTAATATATGAATTATATCAATTTAAAATATAAAATATTATTATATATGAATTATATAAATTTAAACTATAATAAAATTAAATATAAATAATGTAAATAAAAATATATTTTATAATAACACACTATTAATATTTTAATATATAAACCATAAAATTTATTTATTTTTAAGTAATTAATATAAATTATTAAGTAATAAATTATTTTTTAAGGATGTTAATATTAAATTATTAAAATAAAATATAAATACATAATTGAGTGAAACTCATGCTTTTAGAAATTTGAGAGCAGAAAAATAACCAAAGCGACATCAACATAAAATAAAACATACACAAGAGACAAAATTTATCATAGTTCAGTCTTGCCTACTTCTACGAGGGAGATGAGTAATCCACTATAAACGTATAGAACACAAAAAATACAAATAAAGGATATCACATGTATCCCAAAACCTGATATATCTCAAAATACTCTTCCAACATTCCAAAACTATTTCTACAACATAAGCCCCAAAAATTGCCGAGATCCAAAAAGAATTACATCTCTCCAAAAAAAATTCTCTCTCACACAACCCTAAAGGGTAATACATAATCTCTATTTATAGAGTCAAATACTTGGTCATTAAGAATTCTTATTCCATAAGAATTATTCCCTAAAACAAATATTTACTTTATTAAATAAAACTAATTACCAAGTAATATTTAATCACTAGAATTACAATAAAATTCAACATCATTATCAATTATAATTTAGGTAAAAGTATAATAGTAAGGGTAAAATTATAATTTGTTTCCAAGTGCAAAGTTAAAATGAAAAAAGCTAGAAATCCTAGTTTTTGCGGTTGGTTTGAAACCATCGTATCCACCACAATTTTTTTTATCCGTTTGACATTGATTTTGCGGTTAACACAAACATTTTAACTGAAAATGCTTTTAGAAAACCACACCAAACATGGTCTTATTCTATCTTTTTCTATTAAAAGAAGCTAAATTAAAGGCTCAGCCTGAAACATAATTGAAAATCACGTTTATAGCTTAATTGGTTTTTGTCATAGACCGCCAGCCCAAGACCGAGCCCAGTTCGTTCAAGGCTGCCAGAGACTATCTTTGCCACGTTTTGAGCCTTCTAGAAGACCCAACAGAGCTAGCCCATCCACCTTGGAGAGAGAAAATGAATGATAATTATTTAAAATTATCTTAGAGATAATTTCCACTAATTATCCCTTAATTTAGAGTTGTACATAGAGTAAGGCTCTCATCCTGACCATTGATGTAATTTAATCTTAATCGTTGATTGTAGGGGGCTCTAACTATAAAAGGAGGTTCACCCCCACCTCATTTACTCACTTCAGATTGAGGAATACAAGTTAGCATTCACTCTAAACTCTATCTTTTCCTTTTGTGCACCCATATCTTTGATTTCCCTAATTTCCTTTATTTTTGCAATGTTATAAGCTTTCTTGCTTAGTCAGGGTTTGGGTTACATAGCTTATTTTCGACCTTGAAAATGACTAAGTCCACACGAGCTTGCTAGCAGCAGTCTAGGCCCGTGACAAGTGGTATCATAGCTTGTTTTTACTGATTTGTGTTGGTTCAAGATGGCACCACAACATGGCGAGGCGACAGGTTCCAATGGGAATGAAACCCGCAATGCTGAAATAAGAGAGCACCATCAAAAGATGTTC